CAAAACTACTTAGTTAGGTTCAGACAACAAAACTACTTAGTTAGGTTTAGACAACTAAACTACTTAGTTAGGTTTAGACAACTAAACTACTTAGTTAGGTTCAGACAACAAAACTACTTAGTTAGGTTCAGACAACTAAACTACTTAGTTAGGTTGAGACAACTAAACTACTTAGTTAGGTTGAGACAACTAAACTAGTTAGTTAGGTTCAAACAACTAAACTACTTAGTTAGGTTCAGACAATTAAACTACTTAGGTTTAGACAACTAAACTACTTAGGTTTAGACAACTAAACTACTTAGTTAGGTTCAGGCAACTAAACTACTTAGTTAGGTTGAGACAACTAAACTAGTTAGTTAGGTTCAAACAACTAAACTACTTAGTTAGGTTTAGACAACAACACTACTTAGTTAGGTTTAGACAACAACACTACTTAGTTAGGTTTAGACAACAACACTACTTAGTTAAGTCCAAACAACTAAACTACTTAGTTAGGTTTAAACAACTAAACTACTTCGTTAGGTTTAGACAACTAAACTACTTAGTTAGGTTGAGACAACTAAACTAGTTAGTTAGGTTCAAACAACTAAACTACTTAGTTAGGTTTAGACAACAACACTACTTAGTTAGGTCCAAACAACTAAACTGCTTAGTTAGGTTTAGACAATTAAACCAACAGTTAATAAATGTGTTAAAATGATGTCCCGTGTCAGTATGAACACGGGTTAGATATTATATTCACCCTCCTATAATCACTGCTGTTTCAAACTGTAAAGACATCAGAGCCAAAGAGCTCACAGTGTCTCACCAGGATGAAGACCATGGACGCTGACTGAAAGCTCTCACCCAGACTAACGGCTTCTTACATCTCTGAAAATATCTACGCAAATTATATATGTACATATATTTGATAGACACAACAACAGTTGGAGAACCATAATGATAGTATCTTGAGGTGAAATGCATGCTGGGATACTTTCTCTCCCAATAAGGCAGCTCCCAGAGCTCAGTTAGTGAGAAACTTGTGGTCTGTTCTAGTCTAAATGTGGACTGATTGATGACACAGAACAAGAACAGACAAGAAGTCAGATTGAGAAGAACAACAGTCAGACGGATAAAAGAGCTTCTTTGAAATTCATTCAGTAACAATCGAAAAAAACAACTATTGACAGACGATTGTCTTTATACTTCAGCATTGTGTGTGTGTGTGTGTGTGTATGTGTGTATGTGTGTGTGGGCGTTCTGACTTCCTGCTGTGAGGAAACTCTTCTGATGGAGACACACTGAAACGTTTCAGATGTGAACTGATGTGGAAACACGCTGACTCACACCCAAACACACACACACAGTTTCAGACTGTTTTCAGGATGACATGCATCCTGTTTGTTTCTCCATCGCATCAATAATTCACTCGTCATGTCAAACGTCCTTAACGGAGGCGACAGCGTGATTCTTCACTTTATCCTCTGACTTTATAAGGAAGCTCATTGAAGACAGAAAACATGGAGTTGAGTGCAGAACAGACAGAGTTGAATTAGATCTCTACTCTAATTCTTCTCTAATTATTAATATGCAACAAACGTAATGATGGGCCGACATTAATATTTGTCTTCTCTCTTCTCCAGCATGGTGGTGTGATGACCAGCTCAGAACTACGCTAACACACAGACACACACACGCACGCACGCACGCGCACGCACGCACGCACGCACACACACACACACACACGCACACACACGCACGCACACACACGCACTATCAGGATGTCAGCAGTGCGCTCAGCCTCCCCTCTTCCTGAGGACCCGACCACGCCCCCCCCATTGACCACACCTCCACGCAAAGCCTCAGTCCGCCTGCAGGAGAGGTGTGTATTACAATGTACTGTATGTGTATTATAATTATTATAATTATTATTATTATAATAATATTAATAATAATATTTATTATAATAAATAATAATACAAAAATTATAACTCCTCACTTTCTGACACAAAAGGTAATCATTTTTGGGAATATTTACCACTCACGCAAAATATTACAATAACTTTACAAAAATATTACGTCGCTTCTTGATTGGCTCTTTTTTCTTTGTAGGCGGGGCTCCAATCTCTCGCTGCTGTTGGACGTGAGCAGCCTGGGGGCGGAGCCTGTGTGTTCCGTCTCCACCCCAAAGGAGGTGTGGCTCCAGCTGCTCCACACCTCCTCCCGAGCCCTCGGCCACGCGACGCTGCAGCTGGCCGCCGAGGACACCAACACCCTGAACGCAGAGTATCAGGTAAACGTCTTCATCGTCTTCATCTGAGACGAGGTGTGTTTGTTTTAACGTCCGGCCCCTCCCTCCCCCTCACAGAAGATCCCCCCGAACTTTGTGAGCGCCGCAGAGCTCGATGTCCCGGGACACATGATGAAAGACAGATACAAAACCATCCTGCCCAGTGAGTGACGTCCGTCTGTCCTCAGCAGAAACACAGTAAAGACGCCTGTTTGCACTCTTGTTTACCTTGTTGTTTGTTTGTTGTTCACTGTTCAGACCCTGAGAGCCGGGTGGTCCTGAGGAGCCCGGAGGAGGAGGCGGGGCCCAACCGCTACATCAACGCCAACTACATCAGGGTCAGAGTCTAAGATTATTTAATATTGAGTCAATGATGAAGATGATGATGATGGAACACCTCATCCCTCTGGCGGCCATGTTGGATCTCTGTGTGTGGAGCCGATTGTTTCTGTTCATCTCAGATCAAATGAGTCTCCAGTGATGTCGTCCTCATGATTATTATGAAGTTCTGCATTGGATTTGTTTCGCAGTAAATAAACTTTCAAAAGTGATTTACACAAAACAAAAACACTTTTAATACCGACAAATAAACATCAAGTCATCAGCACCTTCTGTTCTCAACTTTCAATAATAAAAGCACTAGACATAAAATATTTGCAGGCGAGTATTTTGCATTTTCGTGTTGTTTATTCCTCACATCCGCGGTGTGTAGAGGCTTTAAGGTTGAACCCCACCACCAGAAGAAGAAGCTTATTTGGCCGCTGTAATGAGATCATTGGTTCAATAACTCGAGTTTCATCATCTCATCTTTTAGTTTGAACTTTATTATTTCATTATTTTGTCCCTAATTTAATTAGTTAAGTGACACTGAAGAAAATATGTTTCCTAAAGAACACAAGCTGATAGAGTGTGACAAAGCTGTCGCTCTGCGTGGGCATGTGTGTGTGTGTGTGTGTGTGTGCATGTGTGTGTGTGTGTGTGTGTGTGTGTGTGTGTGTGTGTGTGTGTGCATGTGCAGCGGACACCTGCTCCTCCTGATGAGTAACAACGTCTACAATGTATTTAATTAAACATGTATGAATTTATTCACATGTATAAATAATAAATATGTTTAAATACATTCACATCTGTGACTTGCTGATTGGACGCTGGGCGGTTGTTATTGATGAGCAGATCGTTGACTTCCTGTCTAATCGAGGATGTGGTCTGCTTTCAAAAGAAAAGGGGACATGTTGAAAAAGTTCATGTTATTTTCTGCTTTATTGATTTCAACCTCATAACGAGTCGGGATGAGATCAGTTACCAACAACATGAACGTTATTACTCATTTATGCAGTTCTATTGATGTAGAGTTTAGGTTGTATCTGTTTAGTCACTGCTGCTAAGGCTGCTGGGAAGTTACTCTTAATTATGTTAATGCTAGTTTGTTTCTTTGTAGCAGTTCTTGATGTGTTAAATGTTAGGAGAAACAATAAATAATGTTTGTGTCATCATTTCACGACTGCGCAGTTATTGGTGTGAGAGTTAAGGCGTTCACACACTGGGGGAGGTTTTCTTGAGTGATTAATTCACATTTCAATACATTTTATAAAACTGTTGGTTTTGTCATGAATACTTTCACACAGAAAGCAAATATTAAGCCCTGAACACAACAACTGTTACTGTCTATTAAAATAGCTTCCAGTAGCTTAGACAGACAGACGCTAGATGCTGCTCTGGGTCAATATGATCCTAGGAGCTGGTCCTCTGCCTTGGTTGGTGGGTTGGTCGGTTGGTTGGTTGGTCGGTTATGTGATTGGTTGATGGTGGATTGGTTGGTTGGTTAGTTGGTTGGTTGATGTTGGTTGGTTGGTTGGTTGGTTGATGTTGGTTGGTTGGTTGATTGGTTGGTTGATGTTGGTTAGGTGGTTGGTGGATTGGTTGGTTGGTTAGTTGGTTGGTTGATGTTGGTTGGTTGGTTGATTGGTTGGTTATGTGGTTGGTTGATATTGGTTGGTTGGTTGGTTGGTTGATGTTGGTTGGTTGGTTGATTGGTTGGTTGATGTTGGTTAGGTGGTTGGTGGATTGGTTGGTTGGTTAGTTGGTTGGTTGATATTGGTTGGTTGGTTGGTTGGTTGATGTTGGTTGGTTGGTTGGTTGATGTTGGTTGGTTGGTTGGTTGGTTGATGTTGGTTAGGTGGTTGGTGGATTGGTTGGTTGGTTAGTTGGTTGGTTGATGTTGGTTGGTTGGTTGATTGGTTGGTTATGTGGTTGTTTGGTTGGTTGGAGTTGTTTTTTTTGGCTGGTTGGTTGGTGGATTGGTTGATTGGTGTTGGTTGGTTGGTTGATTGGTTGGTTGATTTTGGTTAGGTGGTTGGTGGATTGGTTGGTTGATGTTGGTTGGTTGATGTTGGTTGGTTGGTTGATTGGTTATTTGATGTTGGTTGGTTGGTTGGTTGGTTGATTGGTTGGTTGTGTGGTTGTTTGGTTGGTTGGAGTTGTTTTTTTCGGTTGGTTGATTGGTTGATTGGTGTTGGTTGTTTGGTGTGCTGGATGTTTGGTTGTTTGATTCATTTGTTGTTTGGTTGTTTGTTTGATTGATTGGTTGGATGGTTGGTTGGTTGATGTTGGTTGGTTGGTGGATTAGTTTGTTGAATAGTTGGTTGAGTTGTTGGTTGGTTTGATTGATCAGCTGAAGGTCTGACCTGGTCTCTCTACAGGGTTACGGAGGAGCTCCCAGGGCCTTCATCGCCACCCAGGGCCCGATGGTTCACACCGTGGGGGACTTCTGGGACATGGTGTGGCAGGAAAAGAGCAGCATCATCGTCATGGTGACAAGACTGAAGGAGAACAACGAGGTGAGGAGACACGACTCCTCCTTTGCTTCCTCCGGTCGTCCTCTTCTTCACCAATACTGAAAGTGTGTTATTCCAGAAATGTGAGCTGTACTGGCCACAGCCGAGGAAGAGGAGGAGGGTGAAGGAGGAGGACGAAGAGGAGGAGCAGAGGGAGGAAGACGAGGAGGAAGGAGAGACGGGACGATTCGGCAGATTCATCCTCAGAGTCAGAGACAGCCGAGAGAAAGACGGGTTCACCATCACCGACATGGAGATCCAGGTATTTACTCAAGTACTATACTTCAGTATTTATGTTACTTAGTTCTTCTCTTCCACTACATCTCAGAGGTACATATTGTATTTTATACTGTACTACATCTCAGAGGTACATATTGTACTTTATACTGT